GTCTTCAAATCTTGGAAACCAAGTCCAGTGGATATTTTTTGAATTTTTACGGAATTATCTGACAGAACATCGGTTTACTTGCATGACCCTGACCAGCTTCCTTAGCCTTGCTAAAGAGAAGTCTTCCCGCAGCATCATACCACCACAGTTGTGTTTTGATCCGGGCTGCTGTTTGTAGGAGGATTTCTATCAATAGTTCTCTGACACAGAGAATCTGGCATGAAGGTCAAAATAAGTTACATCTCAGACTCATCTAACCAAAAGCCTGTGGTAACAGCAGAGGAGACTTCATTCTACCTTTTTTCCACAGTTTTAACCATCTTCCAACTCTTCTATAAGGGCCAGATCTTTGCAATACAATATTAAGTATTGTTGACAGGTCTGTTAGTAAAAGTGGACTTTACTAAATTATCAGATGCCCAGTTGACTAGCGCTTAAAATCTCATATTTTATCCAACTGTTTTTCGGTCTGTTAGATAAAATGTCAAGAAATGTCTTTGCCTTTTTTCTAGTGTTGCACCGATACCAGTATCAGGCGGGGCCCCGATCCAGCTCTAAAATGGTGGTATTGGTAACGGCGAGTACCAACAAATAGGGCACCGATACCATTTTGAGAGCCTAAAGTTTCTTCAACTATTGTCACCCATTCCAGGAAGGCAAAGGTCTACTGGATTCACTTTGTTTTAGTCTTTTTCCTGCTTCACAAAGGAAGGCAGCAGCTTGAAATGAAGCCATGATGGTGATTATTTTACATCCAAGTAGGATGCAGTTCTTCATATATACACACACATATTAATTTCAAACAGATTGTATCAGTATCGTTGTGAGAGGTCCTGGGTTCAAATCCCGGACAAGCCCCCATAAATATGTTACGACCACCCAGGCCACAACATATTTGAGGACAAGAGACAAAAATGAGGTTCAAAAGAATTATTTTATTCTTAATCTCTGGAACTTCTTTTTAGATCAGGTGTTTAGTTTTTCTGCAAAGAGACAAAAAACAAGAGTCACATTTTTTTCCCCAGCTCCTCGTGTCCAAAAAAAAAAAAACTCTAAGAAAGAAAAAAGAAAAAAAACAAAAACAAAGTATGAACAGAAAGTTGGAGCTGGTGAGCCGATGCAAAGAAACAAAATGTTACAGCAGAGGGCCAACCCTATACAGGGCTGTCAAAGCCTCTGCTAGTAACAAACTAGGTTAAAACTCTAATAAAAATTAAAAAAAGAGCGAAAACAGGACAACTGGTCCCACCAGGTCAAAGTTACAAAAAATCAGCAAAAAGGCTAACGAACAAAAATGCCGCATGCCAGGTTGGAGAGGTCAGCGGCGGCCTACAAAGACAGGAGACGTGCGCATCGCGTTAGGACTCGCTCTCTGTGACGGTGGATCGCTCAGAAGGCTGGAAGTGAGAGAGAGAGAGAGAGAGAGAGAGAAAGAGAGAGAGAGAGAGAGAGAGAGAGAGAGACTAACAGGTGGAAACCCAGCCTACTTATAGGCGGACCAATATCCCACAAATTAACGTAATCGAAAAAGAAAAAAGAATTATCAAGACTCTAAAAAAAAAGTGATTCAACTAAGGTCTATGCAACATTAGAAGGAAAAATAAATAAATAAATAATTAATGTGCCCGACGCACATAACAGAATGGTATCAGTATCGGCATATACTGCACAGCCAGGTATCGGGTATTGGGGCCAAAAAAATGGCATCAGCGCAACACCACTTTTTTCATTGTTGCAGGACCAGCAGAAAAAAAGAATCAATTTTTTCGGTGTATGATATGAACTTTGTACATGAAACACAACTGAAACTGAGTTTATGAAGCGGAGAGGATGGTTCCAGTGGATCAATAGTTGGTGCTGAATGGCTGAAGAGGCGGAGATCGGACTCTATTTGGCTCCAGTTGGTTCCCAAACGCCTGCATTTCCAACACCTCTTAGAAAGTGCAGCACAACAGAAACATGAGGCAGCGCTGCGCGCTCAAACATGGAATATTGAAGGAATTCCTGGCAGAATTCCTGGGGACTTTTGTCTTGGTAGTAAGTGGAAGTTTTTTCTTTTTTCTTCTTTTTTGCTCCTATTATTTAGAGTTGTTTGATAATCCTAAGAGAAACTAATTTGTTTAAGACCTTTATTTCTTTTGCTTTGTGTTTGCTAGTTGTTTGGCTGTGGCTCAGTTGCTCAGACTGTCCTGAGTCGAAACACGCTGGGGGAGCCTCTTACCGTCCATATCGGCTTCTCTGTGGGCCTCATGATGGCAGTGTACGTGGCTGGTGGGGTTTCAGGTAAATGGGACATAGCTTTGCCTCTCTGCTGTGTTTCACATGCTCCTTACTGCCACATTATTATTATTAAAGGTCAGTTAACGACAAACTGTTAATCCAGCTAAAAGATCAAACATTTTATTTTTTCCCATATAATCTTCTGTTTAATGCTTCTAATACTTTGGCAGGTTTAAAAAACAATCATAGGTTTTAGATTAGAACTACAGAGATTAAATAAAATAATCCAGCTGCTCTGTGCTTTATCTTAAAACCTGTGACTCAGGAGGCTTGGAAGCTCCTAATAATTAAACTTTATAGGTTTCTGTTCAGTCATGTGTCATCTGAAAGGCTCCAGTGTCAGCGCGTCAGACGTGCCGCCTCTCTGCCCAGATTCAATGGATGTGCTCGGACCATTGATTTATCAGTACTATAGAGCAGAGCCTCTCTGGGGTCGTCCATAACCCTGGGCAGTAAATGTCCTGCAAACACCATTGATCAGAGGCCTCTCTCTGTGACAGAGATCAAACTCGGTCCAACAGAGGATGCTGGACTCAGCAGCTGAGGAGGAAACCAGAAACACAGAAACGCAGCTGCCTTATTTAGAATATAGAATGCATTCATGCAGGAACTGTTAAAGAAGTAAGGGTTCAATTTTACTAATCATCTCTATGCCATGCAAAGAAAAGAAAACAACAAATAGAAAATCTTCAGCTCACTTTTACACATCCAACTCTGTTTGGAAGCATAAAGCTCTTCTATGATGCCTCTGAAGTTCAATAGATGATATAGGTGGAAAAAAACAGCATAACAAAGATCAAGGATGGTGGCAGGGGATAGAGCTGTGGAAAAGGTTAAAACTACGGTGGCCCTGAAGTGCAAACTGCAACTACAAATCTAAAAGCGCAACTACATTAAGGAAAGCACAACTACATTAAGAAAAGCACAACTACATAAAGCAAAGCGCAACTACATTAAGGAATTCGCAACTACATAAAGCAAAGCGCAACT